TTTACACTTCGTCCCTCAACCAGTTGGTCATTTGCCGTATCAAATATAGCCTAAGGACACTGAAGATGCCGCTGGTCTAGAGTTCAAACCCAAACTTTGCTTTACCAATGTTAATATGGGAGCACTCAATGTTAGGCCTCTATCCATCAAACGACGGTTGAAAAAATTTTAAACGTCGAGGGAGATAAATGTTCTGCTGTAACAGAAGTACGAATGACAAGTACCATGATGGCTTTATAGTGTTCTGCGATATTATAATAATTTGTAGCACCACGGGACCTGAGAGATGCACAGAGTCAGGAGACAATTAAAAAACCGTACTAATTCACTATCGATTTAAAACTGAAATGCTGTATCATATCAAATGATAGGTTATTAAATGATTGCATACTAGATAAAAAGGCGGAAGCGAATGTTTAGTGAGGACGTAGTATCGAAGAAAATCTTCCTCATCTGACCTTTTCTCATAAAAAAGGTTTTAACTCCATTTTATTAGCTGGCTTTAAATTTGAAGCTCCCTCTGCGTATAATATATGAGAAACTGTTGCAGCAAAACCCAAAGATAATTGGTGAGTCCTTTCAAAAATAGGCTGCATTCTCAATTTCTAAATGGTCTGTTGCCTAAAACAAAAAATGATCATTTATCCAACATTGCAGTCTTGTCTTGTCCATTTTTAGGAGCGAATGGTCATTCTTATTAGTTGTATGTATATATGAATCCCAACTTCATGCTTAAACTTTATCCTATGTCGAATGTATCTTAGAAGCTCTAAACAAGAAGCCAGGATCACTAAATCATAGTATTTGGATGACAGGCTTGAAACGTAATTATACATTGTCAACGACATAAAAACTGGCTGTCACAGCTAGCAGCAGGACAATCCTCACATACAGCTCCAACGCGGTAGACGTATTCGTAGTCATAATTACCTCTCAAACGAAAGAAATTTTTTTCCGAATGATTAAGAGTGATCTAAACTTACCCAGGACTATACATGCAAGAAGTCACATAATAAGTACCGCAGTGTTGTACAGCACATCCGAGACGCCGATTGTTCCACCAAGCCATCTATATCCTCTAATTAGCTCCTTCTCAAATTTAAAAGGCATAATTGCAAATCACCTTTGACCAGTTCATCACACTTTGATTTCCACGATTTCGCTCGCTTGGATGGAAGAACATGTTCGATCTAAAGCCGAATCTTGCCAATTCACTCCACCACGTAACAACAGCCTGAGTCATGCTAGTTTTATTCTAAATGCTATAAGACTAAGTGTGTATTGTTTACATTCTGAATAGCTCCTTCGGTAGTAGTTTGGACCGTACGAAGGACATGAAGATTCT